AAAGTAAAGCCTCATAAGTTAAACACAAACAAGCAAAATAAACATGCAGAGAAAGTGCCTAGAGCAAAAAAATGCATAAATCAGAATTAACCGCTCCCAAATAAAAATTTCACAGCTCCCATTAATACTTTAAGGTTTGTGAGAACATATTGTAACTATTAAAATGTCCCAGAAAACGACTTTAAAAATCAACATACAGGTAAGTTAAAAAAAATCAGGTGGCCAGAATAGAAAAAAAAGAAGGTTTGGAACATAAAGTCAAGAAAATTTCTCAAAATGCAATAAAAAAAAGAGGTGGGGACTTCCACCAAGATGGCCAAATAGGAACAGCTCTGGAGTGCAGCTCCCAGCAGGAGCAGCACAGAAGGTGAATGACAGCATTTCCAACCGAGGTACCAGTTCCTCTCAGTGGGACTGGTTGGACAGTGGGTATCGCGAACTGAGGCAGGGTGGGGTGCTGCCTCACCTGGGAAGTGCAACAGGCTAGAGGACGCCCCCTCCTACCCAACAGAGGCCCTCAGGGACTTTTCCGGGCACTCTGGCACTCCAGTTCAGATACTGCACTTCTCCCATGGTCTTTATAGCCCACAGACCAGGAGGTTCCCACAAGGCCAACAAGTGCCACGGGTTTCCAGCACAGATCTGGGTGGCCATTTTAGCTGGCGCCTGAAATGCCTGTGAGACAGAGCTGCCCATTCCCCTGAAAAAAAGGACTGGAAGCCAAGTGATCTGGCTCAGCGGGTCCCATCCCCACAAAGACCAGCAAACTGAAACCCACTAGCTTGAGATTTTCGCAGCCAGCACAGTAGTTTGAGCTCAACCTGGGATGGTCTAGCTCAGTGGGGGTAAGGGCATCTGCCATTACCAAGGCGGTTCTAACCTTACCTATGTAAACAAAATTGCAAGAAAGTTTATGCAGCATCTGGGTGGAGCCCATGGCATCTCAGTAACACCTCTGCTGGCAGACCGTGACTAGACTCCCTCCTTGCCGGGCAGGGCATCTCTGAAAAAGGGCAGCAGCCCATCAGGGTCTTAGAAATAAAGCCCCACCTTCCCAGGACAGAGCACCTGGGAAAAGAGGCGGTTGTGTGTTCTGCTGTAGCACACTTAAATGTCCCTGCCCAGCAGCTCTGAAGGGAGCAACAGAGCTCTCAGCACAGCACTTGAGCTCTGATAAAGGACAGACTGCCTCCTCAAGCAGCTCCCTGACCCCTGTATATCTAAAGAGACATCTGACAGAAGAGAGCTCTGGCTGACATCTAGTGAGTACCCTTCTGGGATGAAGCTACCAGAGGAAGGAACAGGCAGCAATCCTTTCCATTCTGCAGCCCCCACAGGTGGTTCCCAGGCAAGCAAGATCTGGAGTGGACCTCCAGCAATCCTGCAGCAGAGGGGCCTGACTGTTAGAAGGAAAACTAAAAAACAGAAAGAAATAGCTTCAACGTCAACAAAAAGGATATCCACTCAGGAACCCCATCAGAAAGTCACCAACTTCAAAGACCAAAAGTAGATAAATCCATGAAGATGGGAAGAAACGAGTGTAAAAAGAATGAAATAAAAAACCAGAATGCCTCCCCTAATCCAAGAGATCACAACTCCTCACCAGCAAGGGAACAAAATTCTGGATGGAGAATGAGTTTGATCAACTGACAGAAGCAGACTTCAGAAGGTAGATAATAACAAACTTATCTGAGCTAAAAGAACATGTTCTAAACCAATGCAAAGAAACTATGAATCTTGGAAAAAGGTTAGACGAAATGCTAACTAGAATAACCAGCTTAGCAAAGAACATAAATGACTTGATGGAGATAAAACACAGCATGAGAACTTCACAAAGCATACACAAGTTTCAATAGGCCAATCAATCAAGCAGAAGAAAGGATATCAGAGATTGAGGATCAACTCATTAAAATAAAATGAGAATGAAAGATTAGAGAAAAAAAGAGTGAAAAAAAATGAACAAAGCCTCCAAGAAATATGGGATTATGTGAAAAGACCTAATCTGTGTTTGATTGGTGTACCTGAATATGATTGGGAGAATAAATTCAAGTGGGAAAACACTCTTCAGGATATTATCCAGGAGAACTTCCCCAACCTAGCAAGGCAGGCCAACATTCAAATCCAGGAAATATAGAGAACACCACAAAGATATTCCTCAAGAAGAGCAACCCCAAAGCACATAACTGTCAGATTCACCAGGATTGAAATGATGGAAAAAATGCTAAGGGCAGTCAGAGAGAAAGTTTGGGTTACCTACAAAGGGAAGCCCATCAGTCTCGCAGCAGATCTCTTGGCAGAAACCCTACAAGCAAGAAGAGAGTGGGGGCCAATATTAAACAAACATAAAGAAAAGAACTTTCAACTCATAATTTCATATCTAGCCAAGCTAAACTTTATTGGTGAAGGAAAAATAAAATCCTTTATGGACAAGCAATTGCTAAGAGATTTCATCACCACCAGGCCTGCCTTACAAGAGAACCAGTAAACATGGAAAGGCATGGTACTGATACCAAAACAGAGATATAGATCAATGGAACAGAACAGAGTCCTTGGAAGTAATGCCACACATCTACAACCATCTGATCTTTGACAAATCTGACAAAAACAAGCAATGGGGAAAGGAGTCTCTATTTAATAAATGGTGTTGGGAAAACTGTCTAGCCATGTGCAGAAAGATGAAACTGGACCCCTTCCTTATACATTATACAAAAATTAACTCAAGATGGATTAAAGGTTTAAACATAAGACCTAACACCATAAAAATTCTAGAAGAAAACCTAGACAATACCATTCAGGTCATAGGTATAGGCAAGGACTTAATGACTAAAACACCAAAGGCAATGGCAATGAAAGCCAAAATAGACAAATGGGATCTAATTAAACTTAAGAGCTTCTGCACAGCAAAAGAAGCAATCATTAGAGTGAACTGGCAACCAACAGAATGGGAAGAAAATTTTGCAATCTACCCATCTGACAAAGAGTTAATATCCAGAATCTACAAAGGACTAAAACAAATTTATAAAAAAAAAAACAACCCCATCAAAAAGTGGGTGAAGGATATGAACACTTTTAAGACATTTATGTGGCCAGGAAACATATGAAAAAATGCTCATCATCACTGGTCATTAGAGAAATGAAAATCAAAACCACATTGAGATGCCATCTCATGCCAGTTAGAATAGCGATCATTAAAAAATCTGGAGACAGCAGATGCTGGAGAGGATGTGGAGAAGTAGGAACACTTTTACACTGTTGGTAGAAGTGTAAATTAGTTCAACCATTGTGGAAGACAGGGTGGAGATTCCTCAAGGATCTAGAAATAGAAATGCTATTTGACCCAGCAATTCCATTCCTGGGTATATACCCAAAGGATTATAAATCATTCTATTATAAAAACACATGCACATGTATGTTCATTGTGGCACTGTTTACAATAGCAAAGACTTGGAACCATCCCAGATGCCCATCATTGAGAGACTGGATAAAGAAAATGTGGCACATACACACCATGGAATACTATGCAGCCATATAAAAGGATGAGTTCATGTTCTTCTCAGGGATATGAATGAATCTGGAAACCATCATTCTCAGCAAACTGACCAAAGAACAGGAAACCAAACACCACATGTTCTCACTCATAGGCAGGTGTTGCAATGAGAACACACGGACACAGGGAGGGGAATATCACATACTGGGGTGTGTTGGAGGGTGGGGTCCTAGGGGAGGGATAGCAGAAGGTGGGAAGATTGGGTAGGGATAACATTAGGAGAAATACCTAATGTTAGGTAATGGAGGGAAGGAAGCAGCAAACCACCATGGCATGTGTACACCTGTGTAACAATCCTGCAAGATCTGCACATGTACCCCAGAACTTAAAGTATAATAAAACAAAACAAAAAATAGGTAGAAGCCAGTTGCAGTGACTCACACCTGTAATACCAGCACTTTGGGGGGATGATGTGGATGATAACCTGAGATCAGGAGTTTGAGACAAGCCTGGCCTACATGGTAAAACCCCATCTGTACTAAAAAAATAAAAAAAAAATAATTAGTGGGGTGTGGTGCCATGCGCCTGTAGTCTCAGCTACTCCAGATGCTGAGGCATGAGAATCACTTGAATACAGGTGGTAAAGGTTGCAGTGAGCTGAGATCTCACTACTGCACTCCAGCCTGGGTGACAGAGTGAGACTCTGTCTCAGTTAAAAAATAGAAAACAAACAAAGCAGAGGTGGAAAATATTAGAAAAAAGAAGATACTTAGAAGATAAATACACAAGTTTTTCTTTTGGAGCAGGCTAAGCTCCAAAAAGAAAGAAAAAATAATGAAAATAGAAGGAAGAAAATGATAAAAATGATAAAAATACAATAAAATATTTTAAAATTGAAGTGTATTAATATCCAGATGTAGAGGCCTTACCAAGTTGCCAGTGCCAAAACTGAAAATGACCCACACTAAGGTACTTTATGGTGAAACTTCAGAAAACAGACATAAAGAAAATTACATAACACAGATATAAATACCTTCTGTTAGAAAAAGAGACACTTGCAAAGGACTAGGAATCAGAATAGCACCAGACATCTCGAAGAAAGTCTAGAACAATGAGAGAGTAGAAGATGTTTTTCACAATTCTAAGAAAAAGCTTTATTTATCTATCTGTCCATCCATCCATCCCTTTTCTCTCTCTTTTCATCCATCCAACCATTTCATTATCTATCTATTTATCTATCTGTCTGTCTGTCTGTCTGTCTGTCTGTCTGTCTGTCTGTCTGTCTGTCTTTCTGTCTGTCTATCCATCCATCCAGCCACCCTCTTTGTGTCTGTCTGTCTGGTGATCTATCATCTATCATCTTTCTACCTTTATGTATCTTACTGAGAACTTCGTACTTAACAAACCAATGAAAAGAACAGATGAAAACATCCTCATGGAACCTGTGTTAAGCAACTGATGGAGGATGTGTTCCAGCAAAATCCAGGAATAAATCAAGAAAGAGGAAAACATAAGCTTTGCACAGTGGGAGTATGGCAGCCAGTGAGGTTTATCACAGGTGCAATTATTGCTAATTGAAAACATCTCCAAATACCCCACCATGATAACTTTAAACATAGTCAGTTGGCAATTTTTGACAGTCTCTAGTGACCAAAATTAAAAAAACAAAAAAAACAAAGAGGAAAACATAGAATCTAGGAAACCATGTCTCTAACAAAGGAGAGTAGCAAAAGAAGTGCCTGGCTGAAAACTGTTCAGAAGGCTTAGAGAGCAACTGTCTTGTTCAGAGCAGAATGAAGGCCTCCACGATGCAGAGCTCCATCCAGAAAAAAAGTAGACCCAATAAGATGGATGAAATTGTAGGTGGTAACTTAGAGATGAAGGAAAGTATTAAGGAAATTTAAATGAAAATTTTGCAAGCAAAAAAATTTTTTTTTAAAAAATGGACTCAATAGAAAACCAAAAACTCTATAAAAAATAATGTCTTGATTCTTTTCCTAAGCTGGTGCTCAGCAAGGACAAAGCCATATTCGGTTGGAGTGCCAAGATCGTGAAGCCCAATGATGAAAAGCCAGATGAATTTGAGATCAGCATCTCCCAGGCTCTTCTGGGGCTAGAGGTGATCTCAGACCTCAAGGCTCAGCTCAGGGAGCTGAATATTATAGAAGTCAAGGAAATTGAAGTTGGTGGTAGCTGGAAAGCTATCACAATCTTTTCCCTGCTTCTCAACTGCAATCTTTGCAGAAAATCCAAGACTAGCTAGTAGCAAATTGGAGAAAAAGTTTAGTGAGAAGCATGTTGTCTTTATCACTCAGAGGAGAATACTGTCTAAGCCAATTTGAAAAAACTGTAAAAAAATAAAAAGTGTCCCAGGAGCCACACTCTGAGACCTGTGCATGACACAATGCTTGAAGACTTGGTCTTCCCAAGCAAAATCGTGGGCAAGAGAATCCACGTGAAACTGGATGGCAGCCAGCTCATAAAGGTCCATTTGGATAAAGCACAGCAGAACAATGTGGAACACAAGGTTAAATTTTTTTTTTTTAGTGTCCATAAGAAGCTCATGGGCAAAGATGTTAATTTGAATTCCCAGAGTTTCAATTGTAAACAAAAATACTAAATAAAGTATATCCACGGTAAAAAAAAAATAATGTTTTCTTAACTTTTTATGTGCAATGAGTTATATTTTCTGGATCAGATTATATTGATTTAACTGAAAGTAGCTTTTAACTATATGTAAGGAATAAGAGAGAGGAGGTGGGAGTATAGGAGTTACATGTATGTGTGTCATATATGGAAATTTAAAGATAAAATCAGAAGTATTGATAAATCCAGATGGACAAATATAAACCTATAGCAGAGACTTCTAGAGGTTATCGGAAGCTGTCTCCCTTCAATCAACAGGAGGCTTTGGCACGTGGCTGACCAGTGCAAGCAATACTTCTCCATCCTCAGGTTGGGGTGAAATTTTGGCTCATGAGATGTATGTACATTTTTCAAGTGATAGCATCTGGAGTCCTTCAAGGAACAGTATGCCCATGTGCCCTTTGCCTTTTTGTCTTGTACATTTTCTCCATCTTGATGTTTAAAAGATAGATTCTACCTCTGACCAAGAGGACAGAAGCCATATTCTAGTGGCAGTGGAATGTGAACCAGGAGAAGTCTGGCTCTTTATACTGCAAGTCTTTTTTTTTCTTAATGTACTTTAAGTTCTGGGGTACATGTGCAGAATGTGCAGGTTCATTACAGAGGTATACACATGTCATGGTGATTTGATGCACCCATCAACCCATCATCTACATTAGGTATTTCTCCTAATACTATCCCTCCCTAGCCTCCCACCTTCTGACAGACCCCAATGTGTGATGTTCTCCTCCCTGTGTCCTCTTTTATGTAAGAAAAAAAACAAAACCAAAAACTCTGTTTATCTTATTTAAGTCATGGCTTTGTGTTTGTCAGCACTGAAGCTAAACTCTTTTAGTAGAGTATAAGAAATATGGAGGGACCATCCAGAACCAACTGAAATGATAAAAAATGGTTGTCTCTGAAGAGTATACTTACTTGGTGCTAAAGAGGGACAGAGGAAGGAGCTACTGTTTTCCATTTTAAACCTCAGTAATAATAAGCCAAATATGAAATTGCTATTTTGTAGACTGAAATTGGCTGAATATCAGTGATTTACTATGCTTCAATCTATTTTTTTAACCAGTTGCATGTATTGGTATGATTGAAACATGTTTGAATATGAAAGAAGGAAAGCAAGAGAGCAACAAAGAAAGAGGGAGGAGACTGGGTAAACAGGAATCTAATCTTGAAAGACCTTCTATGTGAGGGTCTGTAGTTTAATGTGATCAGATTGGTGTTTTGAGGATGATTCCCACAGTAAAATATAGTATAGCTCCATTGTTTAGTAGCTATAGTAAATAATTTTAAAAGAAGCTTTTATAAAGCAATCAAGGCAATAAATAATGAAAACTAAACCAAGGCTGTTGCAGAGAGGATCAGGTTAAGAAATATGTTATCAATCAAAGAAAGAGAGCAGGAGATGAAAGAGAGACAGTCTGACATAGTGGTTAAGAATCTGGATCTGAAGTCCACTGGACTATCTGTTACCCCATGTTTGGCTTTGGCAAGTTTCTCTAATCATGCTGTACTTGCCACTTTCATTTATAGAATGGGGATAACAATCTTATAACAATTTTATCACCTTTTAGAGTTGTGATGGACATCACATGCAAGAGCACATATGAAAAACTTACCGAAGTGGTGAGAGTGGATGTTCTTTTTTTCTGCTTCTCGAGGGGAATGCTTCCAGCTTTTCCCATTCAGTATCATGTTGGCTGTGGGTTTGTCATAGATGGTTCTTGAGTACACATGGACAGAAAGATGAGAACAAGAGACATTGGGGACCACTAGGGGACGGAGGGCGGTGAGGAGGCAAGGACTGAAAAATAAACTGCTGAGTATTCAGCTATTATTTTCACTACCTCGGTAACGGGATTATTCATACACCAAACCGCAGTGGTATGCAATTTACCATATAACAAACCTGCACATGTACCCCCGAACCCCTGGGAAAAAAAGGGAAAAGTAGCAATCTACCTGGTGCAGAATAAGTACTGAATAAATGTGAGCTAGTATTATTACTATAGATTGCTTCATCCAATGGAGGAAGCACAGGAGAAGGCGCAGCCTGGGCAGTGGGAAGATACTAAACTCTATTCTGGAATGTGGAGTTTGAGGTACTGGCTATCTAAGCAGATTTGTCTGATAAAGAAGATTTACAGGACAGAAATTGTGCTACAAATAGGACTCTTTGGAACCCAGGTGAAATTTGAAGCTGTGGGAATGAAATCGTTCTACATCTCAGAGGAGTATGTAGACTGAGGAGAGGGAGGAAAAAAGCAGAAACACCAATATCTAAGGAAAAGGGAGGCATCCAAGGCAATTAAGAATAACACACTGGAGATTTGGGAGAAGGGCAGTGGGGAACATTGGGAAGTAACAATTTCAAGGAGTGTTTCAGCATGTCCAAACCAGAACGGGATGTAGACAGGTCCCTTGGCTTTTCCAACTAAGTGGGTGATGGCCATTTTGGTGGTTTGAGGAGCTCAGGAGCCAGAGGGCAGAAAGCAGAGGTGCTGCCAAACATGACCAAATCAAACTGAGCCACTGGGTTGGACTTTTCTTTCTAGAAGCTTGTCTGGGAATGAGAAAACTGGAAGAGATTTGAGAGTGTTTACACGTGTAAATAAATAAGACTTCAGAGGGGAAAGGAAAAAACCATAAAATAGATAGCACACATGAGAAAGCAGGGTCTCTGAGATCTGTTCTCTTCTGATTTTCCATTTTGCCTTCTCAGAAAGTAGAATGTGTAAAAACAAACTACAACAACAACAACAAAATAAACCAAAGTATTATTCTTGGCACTTAACGATGTAAGATCTGTTTCAAAGCCTCATGGGAGAGAGTTTTTGTCCTGTTACATATTCTTTTCCCGTATGCTTTCTTAAAAAGTAGTAACAACATATGCAAAGGAACACTGGGAGAGAAAGCAATCTGAAATGACATCACATGTCTAGGGATTATTTTCTATGCCCAAACAGAATAGCTCTTTTTGATAGCTTTTCCTATTAACATGCCACTTCTAGGAAAATAGGAAAGGCTGTGGTTCATAGTTAGAAAACTGCTTTCTATTTTAACTCCTTCAAAAAGGTAATGAGTAATTTCATCTGTCTACTAAAGTACAAGATGCGTGTGTTTTAGAAAGTCCTGGAGGTAAAAATAAGTCTTTTATAATTAGAAATTTTGTGACCTTTCAATAGAAAACGATCACAAATAATGAAATAAAATGTGTTTGTTGATCTTAGGATGTGACAAAAGGCACTTCTTATAACATGAAGTACAAGCATACAGCCACGGAAGGTGGCTGCTGTGCTGTGGTCCCTGTTCCCACAACCTTGTCTAGTAGCTACTATAAGTAGAAACAGTGCACATAGGAGAACTGATGCACTTTTCTACATTAGCATCTGACTGCTTCCAATAAATGAATGGCCATCGTAGCCGAGCATAAGAGCTGAATAATTAATTTTAAATTATTTTCAATGCATACATTGCTCGACATGTAAAGGAATAGTTGTTTACATATATCACTTTGAGAGAGTGAAGAAAAGCTCAATAAGAAATTTGCCACAACATGGATCAAACTGGAGGGCATTATGTTAAGTGAAATAAGCCAGGCACAGCTTATTTGCATGGTCTCACTCACATGTGGGAACTAAAAGAAAAAAAAAAAAGAATCACATAAAGATAGAGAGTAGAATGGTGGTTACCAGAGGCTAGGAACGGTAGCATGGAGGAAGAAATAAAGAGAGCTTGGTTAACAGGTACAAAAATATAGTAAGATACAAGGAATAAGTTCTAGTAATCAATAGCACTGTAGGGAAACTATAGTTAACAAGAATTTATTGTATATTTGAAAATAGAAAAGACAATCTGAAATGTTCCCAACACACACAAAAAATAATAATTGTTTGAGGTAGTAGATATCCCACTTACCCTGATTTAATCTCTATGTATTGTGTGCACATATCTAAAGAAAAACTTCATGTACATCATAAATACATGGGGCTACTATGTATCAATGAAAA